CCCCGGGACCCCGTGCCCACCCCAGCCCCTCCGGGACCCCGTGCCCAGCCCAGCCCCTCCGGGACCCCGTGCCCACCCCAGCCCCTCCGGGACCCCGTGCCCACCCCAGCCCCTCCGGGACCCCGTGCCCAGCCCAGCCTCCCCGGGACCCCGTGCTTACCCCTAGCACACCAAAGCGCTCACACATGGTCCACCCGCACAGAAAGTCGATCTCGAAGTTGTGGTTGAGGATGATGACCACGTGCTCCTTTCCAAAGTGGCTCACGGTGTCGTGGTCGGTGAAGAGGGTGCACTCAGTGCACGACCACCACTCCAGCAGCATGACCAGCTCTGCAGGGATGGCGCGGCCGTGAGGGCCGCGGAGGCCATGTCTCCCCCCGCTCCCTGCCTCTCCCCCGTGGGGCGCCCACGGGGGTCACAGCACCCTGGGGGCTGCGCCACCCCCCCCACTCCCTGCCTCTCCCCCGTGGGGCGCCCACGGGGGTCACAGCACCCTGGGGGCCGAGCCTCCCCCCCCGCCTCCCTGCCTCCCTCTTGTGGGGCGCGCCTGAGGGGGTCACAGCTCCGATGGGCTCCGAGGGCTCAGTACGGCTGCCTGCGTGGGGCCCCTGGTCATTGGCTGGGGTCTGTGGCATGGTCATGCTGCCCACCAAAATAGGATTGGGCAAACTGTTCTTTGTCCTTTCTCTCTTCTCCCCCTCTTCCCCCCCCCACGCTTTCCCTCCCTCTCTTCCTTCTTTCCCTTCTTCCGGTGGCACTAAGGTTTGAACTCAGGGTCTCACACTTGCTAAGCAAGCGGTCTACATCTTGAGCTTCTGTACTTTCTCTGTTTTTGTTATTTTTTGGATAGCGTCTGACATCGTTTTCTGGTCTTGGACTATTGGCCTCTACCTATTCTCTCTTGCTGGGATTAAGGAGGAGAGCTACCACTCTTTTTTGATACAATGTTTCACTGTATCAAAAGCTGCCCAGACAGCTCTCAAACTTACTATGTAGCCCAGACTAGTTTGAACACTGTGTGTGTGCACATATGTGTGTGTGTGTGTGTGTGTGTGTGTATGCAGCTCAGCTGGCTGGGAATTTAAGATCTTCCAGCCTCTGCCTCCCACGCTCTGGGATTGGAAGATGGTGGCCTACAGCCCAGGCAGCTCGCTCTTGTCACGGTGGTGTGCGGTGACAAGGCAGGACAAGTCCCCATCCGGGCCTGCCAGATTTGTGCCAGCACAAACGACAAAACACAGACATCTGCCCGCCGTGTAGCGCGCGTGCGCTGTGCTCTTACTCTTGGAGTGAGTCGGAGGCAGAGTCAGCTGACTTCCTGCCAGCACAGCCTGGAAAACCCAGCACAGCGCCCGTCACTCCCAGCGCGCTGCCGTGTGCACAGGGCCGCGTGGAGATGCACGTCCAGAGGGGCAGACACCTCTGCACGCGTGCCACACGGAGGCAGCCGCGTGTGCTTTCCCTCCGAGCTTCTGCCCGAGCACCGCTCCACGCTGGCTTCCTGCGTGGGTGGCGGGCGTGCACGGCGGGCGTGCCCGGGCCGAGGCTCCATGCGCTCACTTGGCTGACTGAAAACCACCCGCAGCGTGGTGTGCCACGCCGGCCTCACCTGTGCGCTTCGAGAGCCGGTGCAGGCGGCCCGGCTCAAGTGAGGTGAGCAAGCCCGGGCACCTGTCCACCACCGCGCCCGGCGGGACCTCCGGCGGCCAGGGCAGTCATCTGGGTCCTTCCTCTGGGACAGGGCAGGTGTGGGCCCCCGCCTGGCTCAGCCTGAGCTTGCGCCCCTCCCCAGACACCCTGAGCTGGGGGCTGGGGGCGCCCCCCACCGTGGGCGGACACTCACGGCTCCAGAGCGAGTAGGCCAGGCGGCAGTTGATGCGGCGGTACAGCTGCTTGCTGATGGGCCAGAGCGCCAGCGAGCACAGCTGGGTGAAGTTGATGATCAGGCCGCTCACCACGAAAACGAAGCCAATGAGCAGGTGCACCACAAACTGGGTCTTCAGGTAGGCGAGCAGGCCCATGGTCGCTGCTCAGGGGCGGGCACAGGGTCCTTCACTGAGAACAGCTGTCCTGAGGGCACAGGGCACAGGACCAGGGTCAGGGCGGCGGCCATGGCTCGGGCTCGGACAAGGCCTCGCCCACCCCCGCGGCCAGGCGCCTGCCCTCACCACACCCTCCTCACACCTGCACCCAGAAACAACACACCGCGTCTGTGTGCTGTGCTATCACCGCCACATGCACACGTGTGCGCCACACACAGTGCACACGCCACACACACAGCTCATACTGCATGCACAGCATATAGCACATACCACACACACTGCACACACATACACAGCTCACGCTACACACCGCTCACATGTACACAGAACACACTACATACAACACACAATACACACAGCACACAGCTCATGTTACTTGCACAGCAGATGGCTCACACTATACACACAGCACACAATACATACTACACACCTCTCACACTACACACACAGCACAGCTCATACTCCACACTGCACACACATACACAGCACACACAACACACACTACACCCACTGCACACATTACACACAGCTCATGCTACACTCTGCTGACACATAGCACACAGCACACACTACACACAGCACACACTACACACAGCACACACTCTGTCAAGAGCTCTTCTCCTCTCGGCAGTACTCACAGGCTGTCCACACCCAGTGGAGGCTGTGATGCCCCCCGCGGCCTCCCCCGGCCTGTCGACCTCCAGTGCTGGGCGTGGGAGGGGCTCGGGGGCCAGAAGCCCAGGGTGGCCAGGCCGAGGCGCTGTCACTGCATCCAGCCCTGCCGGCTCTGACCTCCTGGCACAAGAGGCCAGACACCCCCACCCCCCACGAGGCACAGGGCACAGCCATCTGCGCCCTGGACTGGAACGATCAGGGCCCCCACGCCGGCCCGGGGCTGGCCTGTCTGTGCCGACCTCGGAAGCCGGCTCCGCCCTGCGCCCACCTCCAGCCCCAGCGCAAGGGCGCAGGGTGCAGGCAGCCGCGAGGTGGGACACACGTGGTCACACACGCGGTCACGGTACGCTGCTCACACGCGGTCACACACGCGGTCACGGTACGCTGCTCACACACGGTCACACACGCGGTCACGGTACGCTGCTCACCACTGCGGGGCGCGTGGCAGCTCACCCTCGCCGAGGCCCCTCCCCACCGTCTGAACATGCCTGTGACCGTGCGACCCGCCCAGGGCACGGGCCGTGGATCTGGCCGCACGCCTGTGCGTGCTCTGGTCTAAGTATGCATGAGGCATCGTCACCTTGAGAAAGCGACTGGACCCGGGCGTCAGTGCTGCCCGGCCGCCACTCCCGTCGGTCACTGGAAAGCCTGCCCGGAATCCTCGTGACCCCGGCCCCGCAGCGGTGTCCCCGCAGCTGGCGGGTCACACACTACCTGGCACCTCACCCTTGGAGGCCAGTCCGGCTTCAAGGTCAACGTCTCTGGGTCTAACCTCAAACTCGGCCAAGTGCAGCGAGCTGGGCAAGCCTCGGCCTGGAGCTCCGCCCCAGTGGCTCCACCTACCCTACACACGTCTGCTCACGTCTGCTCGCAGGACCAGCCCACGCAGTCTCCACCCTGGGCCCCGTGTGGGGCAGAACACGCCGCCAGGCCCGTCCCTGGGCGGTGCTCCCGACGCCCACCCGCAACCCACAGGTGCGGACAGCTGCACCTGCCACACGCTCTCAACAGTCAGCCCCAGCCTGGTGCCCTGCCGCACCTCCTGTGCCCACCACCCCCATGGAGGGCCTGGACCTGCGGCGGTGGGCACCCGCCTCCTTCCCGACGGGCAAGCCGCTGCTCCTCCCGGCCCCAGGCCCTCGGAGAAGGATGCACAAGGAGGGGCGGGACTCAGTGCCCCCGAGGGCACAGGCCCAGGACCTCCTTAAATCATTTCTTAAAATTGTTCTTTAGGCTGGGAAGGTGGCTCAGAGGTAGAGTGCTTGCCTCACATGCATGAGGCTCTGGGTTCGATTCCTCAGCACCACCTAAGCAGAAAAAGCCGCAAGTGGTGCCGTGGCTCAAGTGGTAGAGCGCTAGCTTTGAGCAAAAGAAGCTCAGGGTCAGAGCCCAGGCTCTGAGTTCAAGCCCCAGAACCAACACACACACACACACCCACACCCACACCACACCACACACACACACCACACACACACACACACCACACACACACACACACCACACACACACACCACACACACCACACATACACACACACACACACACACACACCACACACACACACACACCACACACACACACCACACACACCACACATACACACACACCACACACCACACACACACACACACACAGTGCCTCACGTCCCTCATGTTGCCCACTGTCATGGCCCAGCGCTGAGTAGAACGTGGCCCTGAAGAACAGTGAGTATCTCCCACTGGACATGGGTGCCTCACACGTGCAGCTCACGCATGCTCACACGTGCAGCTCACGCGTGCATTCTAGCCTCACTCACACATGCATGCTCACCTCACGCATGCATTCTCGCCTCATTCAGGCCCTGGACACATATGGGTCTTTGTGCTCCACTGTTCTGTTAATAGACGAACCCAGAGTAACTGCTGGGTTTCTCTGCACCGATGGGTCAAAGGTGCAGTGAAAAGACACAGACAACGATCCCTCTGGCCCACCACAGACTGTGCCCTGGTGCCCACCAGCGCCACTTTACATCTGGGGACAGAAGTGGCCACGACAGCAGCCACGTGCCTGCAGTCTGCAGGTGGCGCCCCAGTCCAGCGTCAGGCCCAGAGGGACCCAGCCCACTGGGCCCGGCTGCTGCACAGGAGGCCCCGCCCAGCCACGGAGACAGAGGTCCCACAGCAGGCTGAGGTCAAGCCACTGCGTCTGAGCACCACGGCTGGTGGCCAGAGCCAGGAAGACCAGTGAGGCCAGACTCTGCCCAGCCACCTGTGGGGTGATATCATGGTGGGCGATGTCACGGAGTGGCGGGAAGCCCTTTTTCCCAGGGGATGGTGTCACCAGCCCAGGAGCTGGCTCTCCCTGGGTCCTGTCTGTCCCTGGCTGTTTCCCCAGTGTGAGCCCAGGCAAGAAGAGGAGTGGGCGTGGAGGAGGACGGCAGGGGAGGGGCGGGGGTGAGTCAGAACCCTAAGGACAGAGTGGGCGCAGCATCGCCAGGGGAGAAGGCGGGAAGGGTCCCGCGGGCTGCACACAGCCAGCCCCTGAGCGCCAGAACCTCGTGGCCTCCAGGCTGTTCTGATGGCCCCTAGCCCGAGCAGCAGCGGTGGGGTGGGAGAGGGGGACGACAGCCCAACAGCGGCCTGGGACAGCCCCTACCCTGATGCAGAGCTTCAGCAGCATGCACCACAGCACGCACACACACCGGAAACAGCCACTGCCAACTGGCGTGCAGTCATTTCCTTGCAGGCTGCCGCCATAACCATGACAGCTCGCTCCGCGGAGGGGTGCTGTATACATTCTCACTAAACCGGGCACCCTCATTTCACCCCATGTACATCACATTGCCAAACCCAGAGCACCGGGACACCATGGGGTTCCCGCTCCCCCAGGGGTGGTCGGCTTGTCGCTCCTGGCCTCAGGACGAGAATAAAGTTCAGCCAACCACATGTCCACAGCCTTTTCCCATGGAAGGTCTGGGCGGTGGGTGACCTGTGTGTGGAATCTGGAAGGCAGGGCAGAGGACCGGGCTCGTCTCCTGCGTGGCTGCAGGGGAAGAGGGGAGAGAGGCTCTTCAGGGAAGAGCCACCGGCTGGGACAGCTGAGCCCACATAGAGGCCAAGGGGAAGGGCCAGGACACGCCGGGCAGCAGGGGTCCTGTCCTCTTGGGGTGCCTGCCCCACCCCAACTCCACAGGTGTCACGGGGCACGGCAGGGCCTTCCCAGAGCTGCCCCCAGGGCGGCCGAGCACGGACTGCCCTGACAAAGATGACCATGTTGTCACCCTTGTAGTACGGCAACAGGACCAACAGCACGCAGCTTCCAAAGCCGGAGGTTCAAAATCCTCCAAACTAGGTGACTTGGGAATAAGTGTCACCACTTGCAGAGCAGCAGCCCGGACCAGGCCGGGCACCGGCAGCCCGCTGACTGCCTGAGCCTCCTGTCTGCACAGCCACTCGACACTCTCACCACACAAATGCCTCGAAGTAAGACAGCTCCTAACACATAAATCAGGCCAATAGGATGCAATGTTAAATGGAAGAGAAATTGTCCAAGAGCATAGTGCAATCACAGAAAGAAAACAAAAAAACCAACACAGTACAATCAGCAGCATAACGAAACGGAGTACAGCACACTCACCGCGCAGTCACCGCACACTCAATCACAATACAGCCACAGGGCACAGCACAGGCACTGGGCAATCACAGCCCAGTACAATCACAGCGTGATCAGTGTGCAAGCGGCAGGATCGCAGTACCGTCACATTTTCCCTGGGGTGATGGTTGTTACCAAGAGTTTGTGGTGGTCTAAGGGTCTCCTCAGGACTCACATGCAAGACCACAGAACCACCCTGGGGCTGCCCTTCCCTTCCACGGGGAGTCATCTCCCCGTGCTGGGCAGAGTACTCTCAGTGGCTCCCCACACAGCCCACCACTACTGCCTCGCCCAGTCCCCTCACACCCTCCACCGGCCACACACAACTGCAGGGCTGCCAAGCCAAAGGAGAAGCGTGAACAGAGCCAGCTCTCCTGCAGGCCGAGGGGCCGTGGCGCTGAGGCAGGGGACCCGGGAAGGGGCTGACTCGGGTCTCAGCAGCACCGAGTCCTTTGCAAAGGGAAGGTGCCTGCATCCATTTCTCTGGGTTCCCTCGAGCTGCACCCCACAGCATGGCCACTGCCTGGGTGTCATTTCCCCAGGAAAAGTGCTCCTGTGCACAGGGACCAAGCGCCTGCAAGGGCGTCTCCCTCTGCCGCACACACCCCCAACCCTGGCTTCTCTCCCTCCTGTCCTAGAATGGAGAACCGATTGATGAGAGGGTATTTAAGCCGATCCTAGCTCTTTCCTTGAACAGTGAATCCATCCTCCTGTGGATGTTTT